GCATGTATAATGTAAACAGAATTGGTCCTAGCACTGAACCCTGTGGAAGCTCCATAATTAACCTCAGTGTGTGAAGAGGACTCTCCATTTACATGCACAAATGGAGTCTATTAGATAGATATGATACAAACCACTGCAGCGCAGTACCTGTAATACCTACAGCTTTTAATGCGCTTGAGTAAAGGTTTAACTACAGCCAGCTTGAAGGCCTGTGGTACATAGCCGATTATTAGAGATAGGTTGATCATATTTAAGATGAAGCATTAATTAATGGCAGGACTTCTTTGAGCAGTTTTGTAGGAATGGGGTCTAAAAGACACGTTGATGGTTTGGAGGAAGTAATTATTGAAGTTAACTCAGAAAGATCAATTGGAGAAAAAGAGTCTCAATTAATATCAATGGTACTGAAAGTAGCTGTAGATAATATTACACTGTGGGATGATTATTGGTAATTTTTCATGAAGTCATTACTAGTTAACGTTAAAGGGATTGTTGGCTCAAAAGAGCTCTGACTTTTTGTCAGCCTGGCTACAGTGCTGAAGAGAAACCTGGGGTTGTTCTTATTTTCTTCAATCAGTGACGAATAGTAAGATGTTCTGGCTTTGCAGAGGGCTTTCTTATAAAGCAGCAAACTATTTCTCCAGGCTAAATGATGATCCTCTAAATTTGTGACACGCCATTTCCTCTCCAGACTTACGAGTCATCTGCTTTAGGGTACGTGTTTGAGAATTATACCACGGAGTCAGGTACTTCTGATTTGAGGCCTTAGTTTTCACAGGAGCTACAGTATCCAGAGTCGTACGTAGTGAGGAGGTGAAATTATTAACAAGATAATCTACCAATATTCATTTAAAAAAAAAGCAGTGGAACCCCGACTTACGAATACCCCGATTTCAACAAAAAATTCAATTACGAAGGCACTGAACGGCAATATTTCTGCCCGTGTACGGCAAAATGCCCTGTAACGAAATCCACTGGCTCTGATTGGCTGAGCCTACAATGCCCACAATGCCTTCCGAATCATGTGACAACCCCTTAGCTTTCGTATTGCGCTTCGCTGTTCCACTTGAGCGACGTATTGTTGTTCTAGTTAGCTTTTAGCCTATAGCCTATCGTTCAGCATCGCCTCACTCAAAACGGCGCGATATATATATATATATATATATATGTCTGTGTACATATATATATATGTGTGTGTGTGTGTGTGTGTGTGTGTGTGTGTGTGTGTGTGTGTGTGTTGTGTGTGTGTGTGTGTGTGTTTAGCTATATTTATTTTCATTTACTTTTGTATCCTATGTTTGTTTCAGGGAGCTTAAGGTTGGAGAACACAATCATGTTCGTTGGTCCAAGGTTCAGTTCTTCCGGGAGTTCAACACTGACTGTCGTATTGGAGACATTCTTCAAGCCTGCCTATTATATTGTAACAAACAGAAAGAGAAGCTTTATGTCTGTTTTAGATATTTTTAAAAAATATTTGTGACAAATACAAGGAAATAATATTACTTGTTTGTGGTGAAAAGCTGAATGCTAAGGCATAGCTGTACATAATTTAGAGCTATTTTATTTAGATGTTGCTGAGATATTTCTGCATAGACCACAGTGGTGATGTTGATATTATTGGAAATCTGGAAGTAAGTATAAAAGCCAATGAGATTTTGACTTTTTCTTACTTGGCTGTCACTGGCATGAAGTGTAACGCTTTTGAAGGGAGCAGTCGGTATAAACAGGAGAGCCACAATATTTCCAAATGATATCGATATAGTCGCATTTATATTTATGTTCTCAAGAGTCTTTTCTATGTTCTCCAAGTCCCTTGTGGAAAAAGACAAAAAAAAAAAAGATAATGTGCCATTTTGATTTATACTCTTTAATTAATTCCATAAAATAGAGTAACTTAGCTTTAAATCAGAATTAATCACATTTCTATGCAGCTTTTTTCAAATTACTTATGAATTAATAAGAAAAGAAATCTTTTCTTTGAAAAGACTGAAAATATTTACTTGATAGTGTTTGCATAGCCTCCAGTTCCTGAAAGGTTGACTTTATAGTTCATACATTTCTCAGCATCAGGGCTCACTGTAGAGTAGAATGAAATAAAAATATTAGGACCCCTTTTAACAAGTTAAGAACCACACAAGTCCCCAGAATATTCCAAAGTTCAGCTCAAAGGGCTACTTACAAGCATTTTGTTTTACACTTTTTAACATTTCACATGCATTCATACTCCATGGAACAACTTGGGTTTTAGTATCATTCCCAATAATACTTGGGCTTGCAGATCGAGTGTCTGCACCCAACACTCACTGTGCTGGCATACCTGTCAGCGGAACCAGACACATCACTAACTCCAGCTGCTAGAGCTGGCAAAATCAATCTTGCAAAGACTCCAATAAAGCCCACTGGATAGCTTTGGAAAATGTTAAGTAGAAGAGAAATTTCAGACATTTAATTGTATTTTCATAATTTTTACATCTTTTTCTACTGATTAGGATGCCCCCCATAGCCATTAATGCTACACTAAAGTAAATAACTTATCGAGTTAAATTTCACTGGTTTTCACTGGTCCAGCCCACATAAGATCAAAGCAGCTCTTTTGCGCTGGCTGTATATTTGAGCCCTGGAGATGTGCTCTTTCAGTATCTGTAGCTTTTAATGCAAGTGAGTTGCAGCAACCCACTTACTTTAAGAAGGGCAGTCTTACTTAGACATGAACAATAAAGTCTGTTAAATTTCTCGATAAATTATCACAGGTGAGAAATATCTGATTTTGCTAAAGCAGCTCCAAGGATGAGGGTCTGCTATGCATTGAGTATAGTTGAGGGTGGGGAGTCTTGCAACGTTATGGAACATATGAGTTCTGTAGACTATTTTGATGTCTTTACAGTATTTATAGCACCTTGATCTGTTAACATTTTTAGCAAGCATAAAATTTCTACCCTGTGGGAAATATTTCATTGTTCATATTCAAAACCAACCCCATATAAACGGGTAATAAACACGCTGGTCAATAGTGTGGATGGCCTACTTTGTTTATCATAAGCAAGAAATAGACAGTCCTGCTTAAGTACTAGCAGGGGGAGATACTATATTTAAAGGCATCAAGTCACTAGTGAACAAGAAAGGCATGAGGCTCATTCCTTGCTCCTTCTATACCAGAAATATTTACACTGGATGGCTAAAAGAGACATGTTAGCAATGTTAGCAATGTCTATTTTTGCCATAACTATTTCCATGTTGACTTGAAATAGAATATCACCCTGTTAAACATGTGTATCCATTTCATGCTTAGCAGAAAGCAAAACATGACATCCGACGGTGGACCAGTGCAGCTATTACATGTTTTGCTGTGATATAAACAAAGTTAAAAATGTATATTATCTCACTTACCTTTTACAGAAATGTTTGTAAAGTTCTGAGAGGAAACGTCAAGATACACAAAAAACACCAGACAAAATAAGATCAACCACTTCATCCTGTAGGGTTAAGAAGATTTATTTAGATTAAAAAATAAACAAGCAAACAAAACCTCTCTGCTTTACATTCAAATTATATACGTCTCTAAAACAATTCATGAGACATAATAATGAAATGGGTTAAGTTATTTACATTAACATTATTCATGCATGTGTGTATATGTGTGTGTCATTAAAAAAGCATAGCCTACCTTTCGTCTGTTGCTGAGTTGCTGTACAAATGATTTCATCTGAAAAGAATACAGGAAGCCACAACAGCAAAAAAAACAAATGAGTAAGAATATTCAGCTGTAATGTTTGCGTTTACAGCTTATTTTGAGGTTGGCATGACAATATGTAAATGACACTGTCAAAAAGAAAGAGGCAGTGTCAACTGACAAAAGGCTACAGTATCTGAATTTACATTCTTCTGTGCCACTAAGTCTGTAGTAAAAATATGTGGACATTAAAAGTGTTAAACTAAATACAGGAAAATGCACATATATTCTGTCCATATATTCAGCACAAAGTTATGGTTTTCGAAGTCAGTTTATCCTGATCCTGAGTTTTTAATTTTCTTATTCAATATTGTAGGTCAATAGAAACTGTGTGGCTTCCACAATAAAGTAAATGGCATGCTTTTGAGCTGGACAAATTTACTTGGCCTCGGGCTGTTGATAAAAAATAATTAGACTCATGCGTGACTCTAGAAGTAGATGTCATATACACAGACCCTTGCAGTTAATATTAATGGAATATGCTGCTCTGAAACATACTCAATCCTTTTCAAATTGCAAACCTCAGCCAACACTCTGACACATTATAGAAGTGGTTGCCAAAGTGCTTGCGTGTGTGGTGCGGTGTGTGTGTGCGGGGGGGGGTGTCCTGGATTTAAAATAATAATGGACATGTTTTTGACGGGGGTCCCACACAAACACAGAGCAGAAGTCGAATCATTGCCAAATACAGTGGGCAAAAAAGTATTTAGTCAGCCACCGATTGTGCAAGTTCCCCCACCTAAAATGATGACAGAGGTCAGTAATTTGCACCAGAGGTACACTTCAACTGTGAGAGACAGAATGTGAAAAAAAAATCCATGAATCCACATGGTAGGATTTGTAAAGAATTTATTCGTAAATCAGGGTGGAAAATAAGTATTTGGTCAATAACAAAAATACAACTCAATACTTTGTAACATAACCTTTGTTGGCAATAACAGAGGTCAAACGTTTACTATAGGTCTTTACCAGGTTTGCACACACAGTAGCTGGTATTTTGGCCCATTCCTCCATGCAGATCTTCTCGAGAGCAGTGATGTTTTGGGGCTGTCGCCGAGCAACACGGACTTTCAACTCCCGCCACAGATTTTCTATGGGGTTGAGGTCTGGAGACTGGCTAGGCCACTCCAGGACTTTCAAATGCTTCTTACGGAGCCACTCCTTTGTTGCCCGGGCGGTGTGTTTTGGATCATTGTCATGTTGGAAGACCCAGCCTCGTTTCATCTTCAAAGTTCTCACTGATGGAAGGAGGTTTTGGCTCAAAATCTCACGATACATGGCCCCATTCATTCTGTCCTTAACACGGATCAGTCGTCCTGTCCCCTTGGCAGAAAAACAGCCCCATAGCATGATGTTTCCACCCCCATGCTTCACAGTAGGTATGGTGTTCTTGGGATGCAACTCAGTATTCTTCTTCCTCCAAACACGACGAGTTGAGTTTATACCAAAAAGTTCTACTTTGGTTTCATCTGACCACATGACATTCTCCCAATCCTCTGCTGTATCATCCATGTGCTCTCTGGCAAACTTCAGACGGGCCTGGACATGCACTGGCTTCAGCAGCGGAACACGTCTGGCACTGCGGGATTTGATTCCCTGCCGTTGTAGTGTGTTACTGATGGTGACCTTTGTTACTTTGGTCCCAGCTCTCTGCAGGTCATTCACCAGGTCCCCCCGTGTGGTTCTGGGATCTTTGCTCACCGTTCTCATGATCATTTTGACCCCACGGGATGAGATCTTCACAGACTTGGATCCAAAACATCTGATTGTCTGTTTTGGTCTCCAATCAGCTTGAAATGACGAAAAGCAATATCCCAGAATGCATTTCATCCAAAACTCAAACGAGGCAGTGGCGGAGGAACACAGAGTGGTGGGGTTTGAAATATTACTCTTTCTGTATCACAAAACTTTTAAGTTATTTTCATGCGAGAATGGTGCTGTGTAAACTTCAAATATCTGCTTGATTTATCATATCACATATTTGTAAAAGCGCTCTAACATTTTTGGAGATGCCTGTTACCCACTAGCTGACCGGGTGGTCAAGGCGCAGCTCCCAGCACATTGTTTTCAAACCCCCCATGGTCTTCCACTACTCGAGTTAAACATATAATATATAAGTCACTTAGATCAGCGGTCCCCAACCTTTTTTGCATCACGGAATGTCAGACAATATTTTCAAGGACCAGCCTTAGCATTTCACAGAGAAATACAACAAAATAAAATGATACGACCAAAACAAAAACTGTGGTATTGTGTAAATATAATAATCAATACAAATTCACTGTGTAAATGTGTAACTTTATTAGCAGTGTCCTTCTGAAATGTGCCAACAACTTTGAGAGTGACATCCTCCTCTCTGCCCCTTAATGCTCTTTGGTCGATATGGTAACGCAAAAATATTTATTTCAAAATAAGACACACAACACAAAACAAATGTAAAGTAAATGAAAATATATAATTCACCATACGCTAAATCAATGAGAGCCCTGTGCTTGTTTCTCTGCAACAAATGTAATGATGGATAATGGGGGACAATCACACCCAAAGTGTGCTGTAATATCCCCTGATGTAAAATGTTCTGTTCTTATTTAGACAGCTGACTCTGAATTAAGTCGAACATAAAAAATATTTAAATTGAGGAGGAAAACCTTTCATAATATGACGGGTGAAATTCAAAACAGACTTACAGTTCTCCAAGACTTCAGATTTAAATTAAACGGTCCAGGTATAAACAAAACATTACCATTTAGAAGTTATCTAAGTGACTTATATATTGTGTTTAACCCAAGTAGTGAAAGAAACAAAAAGGGTTTTTAAAACAAAGTGCCGGGAGTCCGCGCCTTCACCACCCAATCAGCCAGGGCTGGACTGGGACAAAAAATCAGCCAACTACACCACCAGGTATTACAGGAAAAACCTTAAAGCCTTTGAACTGAAACAAACGCTGTTGTGACAGTTATGTACACTGTCTTGTTGGTATATATGTATGATGTATCACCTTCATGTTTCCCTCTCACCAGATATCCAAACCGATATCGTGGCCAGCAGCTTTTACAGCTGTGGCTCCAGCAAACATCAGCTGATACTAGAAAGTCATTTTAAATATATTCTAACAACAGCTGATCAAGCTTAAACATCCGCTGGTTTCCTCTTTCTGGCGCAAAGAGAGACGGGACTTTCAGCAGAAAAGCCGATCAGGTGATCATTGATCAGTTTCATGATTGAAGTAGCAACAGGAGAGGGAGGGGAGAGAATGAGAGAAGAGGCAGCTGTGCAGCAAAGACACAGAATAACTCCAGTTTTGTGTCCTTTTTTCATTCTAGCTGAAGTACGGGACAAATTGCTTCCTTTTCACCTCAATGCAGATGTATTGTAATTGGTCCAGCTCAGAGTTGATCATGACCAATTGGCTAATCAACCACCTTTCATTGTATAAACTGTTACAAAAACAAACAAACAAGCAAACATAAAAATGAAAAATCACCATCGGCCCACTGGTCAAATGCCTGGTATGCCCAATGGCGAGTCCAGCTATGCGGTCAGCTGGTGGGTAACAGGCATCTCCGAAAACGTTAGAGCACTTTTGCAAATATGTGATGTCTTGAAAAATCAAGCAGATATTTGAAGTTTACACAGCACTATTCTCACATGAAAATATCTTAAAAATTTACTTTGTGACCCAGAAAGAGTAATATTTCAAACTCTGCCACTCTGTGTTTTGTACTGAGTTTTGGACGAAATGCATTCTGGGATATTGCTTTTCGTCATTTCGAGCTGATTGGAGACCGAAACAGACAATCAGACTTTTTTGCATCCAAGTCTGTGATTGGCTGGTTTTATGGCACAAATATAATGGTGTACAGAAAGAGCTGAACATGTACGGGCAGAAATGTTGAGAGCGCGAGCAATACATTGCGAGCTAGCGCAAATGCAAAAGTGAGAGGTGCTGCTATTGTGTGTGTGTATGGATAACAGCAAACACTGAAATACATTTTTTTGCACGCAGCAATGAATTTTGTTCACTCAAAATAAATTTCTCCTCAAAATACAACACTTGCACCTGAATTTATTTTTTTTTTTACCTGCGCTCAGAATAGTAGCACAAAAATAATGCCATCGCTAGATGCCTTATTGTAACCATGGTTTTAGGGTGGACACAAAGAAGATAAGAGGATATAAGAACAATTTACAGTGCTGCTTCAGTATGGAATTATTTCTACATGAAAGCTTAGCATGAGAAAAAACATTTTATTTTATTTACATTTTATTAGTGGTCCCCGTGGTAATTGGAGGAGTTGGGGCAGTGACCGCAATCTTGGTGACCATTACCAGCACATCCCACAAACGGCATCTGAGATCTATATGCAGAACAGTGCAGTCATAGGAGTAGCAAAGTTAATGCATGGGACCCTCAAGCTCCCAGGCCTCTGGTAGAGGACCTGAGCTAACTACTGCATTATTTAAACATGACACACACACACACACACACACACACACACACACACACACACACACACACACACACACA